ATCACATAATTGATTCAAATCAATGTTTCTATTATTTGTATGACAGCTACAATAATCTTAATGGCTGATGATTAAATCAATTGTTCTTATTGTGTTGATCAAGTTGCATGTTAATTTAATTCAATTTTATCAGATAAAATCGGTTACCAAAATCTTAATTATATAAAATTAGTTTATCACTATTTTTCTACAATCAACAAAGTTGTTAGAAATACATAAAAAGTGTTTTGTTAAAAAAAAGATGAAAAATTGTCGTGAAAGATTTGAATATTGCCCAATTAAACTACTAACTCTAAATCACCATGATTCTAATTTTTTAGTTTCAAAAATGTTTTGTTTTTGATAATCAGTAATTAACATCAATTACTATTCGTTAGCGAAGATTTTCGCGAATAATCATCAGCATTTTACCGTTGATGTTTTGATGCTCAGAGTTTTCTAAATCGCCCCAATTTGACCTGTGTGGAGATACAAGTAGCTGTCTACCAGTTTCCAATAAACTCCAAGCTAATGATGGGTTTTGAATGAACTTTAGTCGATTAGCTTTGAAAGCGACATCGGATTCAATTGTTTTCCATACATCAAACATCAAACCATTTTGTTTAGTTCTTCTAATCTTTGAATCAGCAAATGGTCTTGTTGAATCTCTCACTTTTTGGATTAAATCAGGTCTTCCTAACAAGTAAACTTTGATTGAATGGTAAAGATGAGCTGAGGATCGATACTCTCCATTCAACTCGTTGTTAGCATTCACTGTGATCTTAGCAGGTCTAATGTGACCTAATAAACTACCTCGATGAAATTTGTACGGTCTGTTGTAGTCAAGAGGCAATTGTCTGTATATCGATTCGATGTAATTTTGATCAAATGTTCGAGAAATATCAATTAGGGAATTACCAACTAACTCAACGTCCATTTCACTAGATTTATTTTCCAAAAATTCTATCTCCTTTTTCATCCATGAGTAAATCACTGATTCCATGGTGAGAGTAATTAAATTTCACAGTAAGATTAACTTGATGATTGAACAATTGTCTTTATAAATCTTTAATCCACTCAAGTTTAATTACAGTTAGTTGATATTATTTTTGATGATGTTCACAATCAATAATTAAACAAATAAAAAAGGTTGTTAACTTAATTAACTCGACCGTCAGATTGACAATTCAGAAATGACGAAAATGTTCAAGGTTTTACCAATTATTACCTTATCATAATCTATGATGAAGATGATGAAGATGAACATGAAGACAGAGGGATTCAAAGAAAGAAAGAAAGAAAGAGAGAAAGAGAAGGCAAAAAAAAAATCAAGTGTAACAATTAATTTGATTGCAAAGCTCCGAGAAAAAGTATTGGGAATCAGTTAATCGTGATTAGTTCGAGAATGGATAAGATTTAATTTTTTTTCAATCAAATCAATCAAATTCGTATTATTTGGGCTACAAGATGAGTGTTTTAATTCAATAGTCAACTATTAATGATTAATATTAATCATTGTTTAACAAAAACGTAAATGTAAGTTAAACGATTTTAAGAGAGAAAGAAATAAAGAAAGAAAGAAAGAAAGAGAGAGAGAGAGAAATCTAGTAACAATCAACAAATCTATTAAACAAGTAATCAATTACTAATTACAATTAGCTAATAGATGTTCAACTTATTTTTTTTGTTTCAATTTTTGTTCTTACATAAATAAGATAAGCCGTAATTGATCAAACTCGATTAATGTTTGAATTTCAATAGTCGAATAGAAATTAATTTAATAATTGAATTACACTAATTATTATAATTAGTAATTAGAATTTGAAAAAACGATAAGTTGAAGAGCATTTTATCCGCAAAGGTAAACTAGGTAATTTCCTAGTTTTCATTAGGCGAAAATTAGTTAATTGTTACATTTTGCTTTTCTTTTGCAAACAGATTCTCATACATATTTTTACCTGGAAATCTCTACTCTAAAATTACTAAATCTTGACTGATTAATGACCTAATACAATCCATCAAGCAAATGTTTAGGAGCAGCAATCAATTGATTGTACAGTGTTTCTCGTTTGAAGAAAACCAATCAATCAAATGAAGAAACCAAACGTTCATTTGAAGAAACCCCAATGCTTTTAATCGTATATCAATTGTCACCAATTGGTTGGAATTTTGGACCTTAATTTTTCATTAATTAATTTTTGTCGAAAATCGGTCTAAAAATGAAGTTTCACATTAATTGTGCTTGTAGATTTGATTTAAATTCAATTTTGAATCGAAATTAATTAATTAATCACAATGAAAAATCAATAAAAATCATTTTGGTTTCTTCAAATAAAATCTTGGTTTCTTCATTTGATTGTTTGGTTTCTTCAAACGGGAAACACTGTAACTTCAGTTTCAATTGCGATAACTTTTTTTACAGAATTGATTTCAAGGTAGATAGTGCTGTGAGTAAAAGCTCCTGAATAGGATTCAATAATGATTGGTTTACTGATTTTTTTAGTTACATAGAAAATGAATTGTCAATATTTTAAAGACAATTTGATTTAATTAGGTTCCAATTGAGTTGATAAACTATTGAACTATCTCGAGCTCTTATAAATATAGACACATTAGATTTCATGACGATTTTTGACTATCATCAGGGGAGAAATTGTATTGTATTGAATCTACATCATTGTCCTTAAACTTTTCCCAGAAACTGTAACAACGATTCGACTTTCAATGGTTAGTTTTTCATTCGAGTGCATAAACACTGGAGATTTAAAGACAAAATTTTTCCAGGTATTCTGTCAGCGGCAAGTTCATATAACTTGTCCCAAAAGTATTAGGCTCTCATCAATAGTAATTTAAACCTTAAAATCTAATCTTGATTGTAACTTAATGGATTTGATCTGTAAAAATTAATGTTTTCATTAAATTGCTGGTTTATTAAATTAATGGTGGAACATTGATGTGATAAATGTCACTTAGAACGCATCTCCATCAGTGCTGGATAAACTAATTCAAACAAGATTCTATTGAAATTGTCATCAACCAATCATCTATGTTTTATAATAGTAATTTTTTCATATCTCTTTCTCTTAATCCTTTGCATATCCCTTGAATATTCAACAGATTAAATCAGTCTCCAAGATGATGGACACAGTTTCTTCATCATCATTTGCCTTGCTCGCTTGATTCAATGCTTTGTGAAATTAACCTAAAAAAGTAAATCAACAATTTAAGAAAATGTCACTAAAAGGATTTACTGGTAAGCTTTGTTTTTATTACTCTTGTGTCTCTGATTTGAATCAATGTTTTGAGTGTAAAAGCTTGATCCAATGAATTGTTCATCATAATATTTTATTCTTGCCATGAATCTGATTAAGTTTAGTGTTAATTTGATACAATTTTTCATTTTTACAATCTGATCAGACTTTGATCTCAAGTTATGTATGATGATGATAATCCAAGTAGATGTGAAGTAAAGATGATGAAAATATAGAGAACATGAAAGGAAAACTTTTTTTTGTTCAGTTGACATCGTCTTGACAACTTGACAACCAAGGCAATTGAAGCTCCTCCTCAAAGGAGCACTTTCACTTTCCTTACCAGAAAATTAATAGTTTACCAGGTAATTAACTTGTGATAAGATTGTAATTATAATAGATATTTACTCTGTAGAACAGTGAAAATCTAATTGTCTTTGTTTCAATTGTTTTGCATCAAAACCAAAGCAAATAATCATGTCGGCTGATCACTTTATCAATGAAGATGATGTTTCATTAATTAAATGGATGATTAGTTTATGTTTCTCTTTAAATCAAAGATGAATTTACCTTGATGATTGATTGTAAACTTAATCGAATTAATTTCTATTATTTTAATGCACAATTTTAGATGGACACTTTTTCTCATCTCTGTCTCTTCCTTCTCTCTTTCTTTTTCTTTCCTCTCTACTCTTCCTCTGTCTTAGGCCCATATTCACCAACCGTAATCAAGAGCTGTAATCAACTGATCCTGGAATCAAATTGATCCGAACTTTGATTAGAAATCAAGATTTGATTACGGTTGATGAAAGACAAAAGCTGTGATTAACTGATTTAAATCTAGAATAAAATTTGATTATCGTTGTAATTAGATGTTTATTTAATAAACGGATGCTCAGATTTTGTTCACATTATTTTCTTATACAATGCAGCTCTCTTAGTTTGAGCCCAATTTTCATTCACTAAGATCACATAATTGATTCAAACTACAATAATCCTAATGTCTGATGATTAAATCAATTGTTCTGATTGTGTTGATCAAGTTGCATGTTAATTTAATTCAATTTTATCAGATAAAATCGGTTTTAGTAAACATAAATAAAATAGTTTTGATATCCGATATTCAGAGTAACGATGAGTGTTCAATATACTCTTTATCATCGGAGTTTTTCAATAAATCAGATTATCGGCATGATGAATCTAAGAATTCGATTAGAACAATTAACAAATCTGACAATCAAATGTCTATCAAGGCCTAAGGGGTCCCAATCATTAACCATTTTTTATTTCTTAATTGTTTTGATCAAAGAAGTAAAAAAATCCTTTTTGTTTAACTGTTATTTAAAGATTGTCGAATGAATAACTTTCTTTTTCTATTTTATAGCTCTGAAAGTGGATCTATCCATGGGTCGAACCGTTTAACGTTAAATTTAGGACGAGATGCGATAGTTAAACAATTAATATCGAAAGATTTTATCAAAACCTTCATTCATGTCAATCGTTGCTGAAAAAATGGATCATCCTGAATAGAATCAAATCAACATCTTATTGTCTTTATGTGACGTTAATGGATTATCAATACGAGCGATGAAATTTGGACATCAATTAGCGAGTAATCGTCTTGAACTTATTGATTTCTGTTTAAATCATATTACTATTGGATTAATTGTGACATTTTTACAATTCATGTGGTAAATTTAATTCAGCATAATTTCAATGTAATAAATTTTGTCGAAAATTGTTAGTGAATGAATTTGAGACATTTAACAATTAATTTATTTTTTCTTTATTGATTATGATATTCAAATGTTAATTCAATCAATTAGAACCAGTGCAAAAAAGTAATTGTTATTGGTCAAAAGTGTTTTGATCCAGTTGAAAGATGAAATTGTATCCGTTTCAATTGTCGATGATTGTTGATCACAACAGAAAACCATTTCTTGGTTAAATAATCATTTGTTTCTGGTGATCAACAATTAATATAAATTTATATTCGTCGAAGAAGATCTTCCCGAATTATCATGAGCATTTTCCCGTTGACATTGCTTCCATTCAGATCTTTGTCATATCCCCAGATTGGATTATAAGTTGATACGAGTTTCATTTTACCAGTTTCCAATAAAGCTCGAGCCAATTCCGGACTCTGTATGAACTTGAGTCGATTCACTTTAAAGGCGACATCAACTTTAATGTCTTTCCATGCTGAATATAATTCACTATCGACTTTACCAGAACGTTTAATATACGAATCTTTAAATGGTTTGGAAGAATCTCTAACTACGTTAATCAGATCGGATCTTCCTAACAGATGAACTTGTATTGCATGATAAAGATGAGCCGGTGAACGATAATTTCCAGATAAATTTTTCATATCAATCGCATTGATTGTGATCTGATTATTTCCTTTTGTGTAGCCTAAAGGGTTGGAATAATTAACTCGAAGTTCAGTCTGGTCCAAAGATATTTGCGAGTAGATCAATTCTAGACATTCTCTATCCAATGTGAAAGGAATATCAAAATCATCCACTTGAAGATCGTGTCCATTTCCAACTAAAGGTTTAATCGATTGAATTAATTCAGCAAATCGTTCTGGTTGATTTTGTTCTGCTAAGAATTGGGTCTCCATTTTCATCCATTTGACAATCTCTTGGTTGTTGTTGTTGATCATGTTGAGGGATTTTCACTGTTCAGGCAATTTAATAACTTGAATATTAACTTAATGTTATAATAGATTTTAACTTAAGAAAATTTTGTAACTTTAACAACCGTCAAGTTGAGTTGACAATTGATAACTGAATAAAATTGCTCTGCTTTCACCCTTTTATACTAGAGACTATCTCGGAAATGGTTAGCACTAGTTAAGAGAGAGCGAGGGAGTCTAGTTAAGACTAGTTAACGGAATAGCCTTGAGCATTTCTCTGATTTATCTTGGCTTTTTCTCTCTCCCTCTCTCTTTTTTTTCTTTCTTGCTAATTCACTTTTTTTCTCTCCTTTCTCATTTATTTCCACCAAGTTGTTGACTCTGGAACATTTTGACATCTCTGGAACAATAGTTTGTTTTCATTTTTTAGCGAAATCTGGTGAGTAAAAACATCACTAAAATTCCATCGCTTAATTTTCATCATTTTCAATTAATAATCGATTTAATTGATTAATTTATTTTAGTTTAACCCCCATCCCGGTTGTACACCCACAATTTCAGAACGGGGTCTCCACCCCTTTTGTGCCACAAACCGGAAGTAGATCTCCCCCACTTCCGGTCCAGAAGCGTATGGTTTTATACTACTATTAACTTTCAAAAGATGTTATTATCGTTACAGAAATATAATATAATAGAAGTAAAAATCATCCTCTCCTTAATGCGAAAGGTTCAAATAGATCAACGTCATTGTATTTAGATACTTGGAGTTTGAGGTTTCGATTCTTTTTTTGACAATATTTAGTGACCTTTTTGATTATCTGCTGTTCTTGTTCATTGTTTAACGATGGTGGTAAACGGAAATAAGACAAGTTCGGCAGCATTCTGATAGTCTCACTTGTATCTATTTCCGTCAGAATAAATTGTGAGCAAAATATCATCAAGTCGGTACAATTCGGATAAAGAGTCGTGATATATTTGATAACACTTGATACCTTCCTGGAATCCGTTTCAAACTCGAGCGAAACTTTCCTGACGTTATAATTTTTCTTATATACAAGTAACTCAGTCTCTTCTATGTAGCATGTAATTATTAAGTGTAATTTCTGTAAATCAGGTAAATAAGATAAAAATTTCCAGTCATCTTCATCTCCAAGCGTCAGTGTGTAGGTGAGTTCTTTCACTCCGAGAATCATTTGATCACGAGTCGATTCAGCTAAGAAAATTGATGAGAATTAATTTATGTCGATAATTAAATGTAATTAAAGAAAAATTACCGCAAGGATTATGAGTATAAAGATGTTCAAGATTAGGCATCAAATGCTCATAAGTCTTGAAAACCTTAAAAGGAGCTAAAATAAAATGGCCAAACTTTTTCAAATTCCCACCGAATTTGTATTTGTTGAAAAAGAGATCCAAGAATTCAGAATTCACCATGAAAAGTTGTGTAATACTGCCACAATATTTAACCATTTGTTGATCCTTATCGACGTTACATTTTTCGTCCAAAATGTGACAAATGAATGAAGCGATCAGTCCATTCAGTGGATTACCAGTGAACAAAACATTTGCTACCACTCGGCAGGTACATTTGGATTGCGAGTAAAAAAGTGCTTCCAATGTCTTTAGATTTGGAAATACATTGGAAACATTTATATTCTCAATGAATCTAATATTTCTGGTGTAGATGTTGTAAGGTGGGGGTAACCTTTTCCTGTTCAGCCAAACTATTGAAAGAAATTAAAATGTTATAAAAAAATTATCGTCAGGACGATTCACCTAATCATTTAACAATTGAATCGATCGTAACATGTCTATTGTGACGGTCAACAGTTTCTCAAGTTGATCAACTTTCAGGTATTATTACTTACAGGTTAATGTTGTAATTTTGTCATATCTAATCTGAACTAAACGCCGCCATTTTGAACAAACTTTGATTGGAGAAACAAAAAGATCCAAAGGTTACAAATTATGAATGAACAAGAAAAACTTTACAAGAGGTTACAAGTGTTTCCGGAAGTTACCACCACCCACAACATCACCTTAATACCGGAAATGGTCGGTACTGCAGCTTCCGGAAACACTGTCCCCCCTTTTTACTACTGATTTTAATTGTTCTTTTTACCTTGAGATGAAGATATAAGATCTTGGAGATCATAGAAACTATCAAATATTATCATTAGACAATTTTCAGGAAGATGGTCAATATTCATATCGATGAGACTGCTAAAAGTAAAAGATTTCAATATAATTAGTGAATAATTCACTTTAAAAATTGTGATGAAAACTGGGATAATAGTTAAAGTGAGCATTAAAGCTCATTGTCAACCTGCTAAATATGATTCCATTGTCGCAGTAAAAGTAATAAGTAAATTTAATGTTTCTGGAACATGATAGTTCACTGATCAACTTTACGTTTCTGGATCAGGTTTACGCCTCTGGCACAGTTGACGCTTCTAGAACACTAACTTACGAACACCTCTGGAACAAATCTTTTCTTGAGCACTCACTTTAGAAAGTAAATCTCCAAGAGGTATCGATTTGTGCCAGAGGCGTGAACCTGATCCAGAAACGTAAAGTTGATTCGTGAACTGTTATGATCCAGACGCAAAATTTATCACTTGATATTATTAATTAATACTTTACTAGTTAAGCAGGTAAAAGAAACGAAGAAAAAATCATAACCGCATCGAAAGTTACCTGAATTTATCTTCCATTGATTCGGAATAAACTTGAAAACCAAAAAAAAATTGCACTCAAGGTTCAGGTCGACTTGTTGTATTGAATTTACTTACATTAGTATAAAGGAAATATGATTTTTCAAATATCAGAAATTAGCAGGTGAATCTTAATATTAATGGCTAACCTGAACGAGAGTTGAAGATGATTAAATCAACTTGATTTAATCATATATAACTATGGTAACGAGAAATTTTTTTATCAAGTATAAATGAGCGGCTTTTTTGAGTTGGTTAAGAATCCATTTTATTGGATATATCGTTTCATCTGTGGAATCAGTAAAGATTATCTCAATAAGACATCTCATGAATCTGAAACCCATGTTATGAAGAAACACAGTAAAATCGAAACCTTCATGATCATGAATAGATATTTGCTGATCATTCATTCAAACTGAACACTTTGTTGATCAGCCTGAGATTTATATCACCACATCGATCAAGGATATATCAATTTTATCAACAAGAAGATACGACGACAAAATTGATTCATCGATATTTCAACTATTGAACTGATTGATTCCAAACAAAGTCGATTGACGATGCCTTTGATTATTAGCATTTACGTGAATCTCCATTGCTCTTTTTAATCGTCCGAATCAAATCTCGACTCAATGCAATCTATTAATATTGCTCTCAATTATTGTTCTATTTCAATTCTCTCGCTACTCATCAATTGAATAGAAATTGCGAACTTTTTTTTCAGAATTGGAATTGAATTATTCTTATTTCTATTAATATTAAAATACTGCTCCATTTTTCCAACAATCTGATCAATTGACAATAACTTTTTATTATTAATAGTAAATGATTCAACTTTAAATTGGTGAAAAATCAAATCATACACATGATGATTAGATAATTATCTTGATTATCTCTCATTGTTTACATCACTTGTAAATATTGGATAACTGATCGACTTTTTTCACGTCATTCCAGGAAAATTAACAATTAACATGATTGTTTGTTTGTTGATCAACTAATCATAATGATCTCATTGGAAAACAATATCATCTGATTTTAATCAACAATTTAAATCTTCGCCTCCAATTGTTATAATGCACAATTGAATTAATTAGTCAATCATAACTTGGGAAAAATTAATATAAATAACAATCAACTAGAGTTTTAATGATCATAAACCAACCAAAATTCATCAAAACAACAACAATCAATTGATTTAATTTCAGTTAAATACTCAACAACTAATAATCATGAACAAATTTTCGCCTTTGGTACTAATTGTTTTACTCTCAACTGCATGTAAGTATTAATATTGTCCAATATTCTGGTTTCCCTGATTCCAAATCAATGAACATAATTAACTAATTGTCTGTTTAATCACAAAGGCTTCATTGAAAATGGATCAGCTTTAGATTCATCGCTCGAATGTGAAGTTTGTAGACAAGTTTTCACTTACGTTTACGGAACCATTGAGAAACCAGCGACCCAACAATCAATTGAAAACGTACTTGACACCGTTTGTGACAAAATCCTGTCCGGTGAAAAGGCCGCTACCTGTGAGAAATATGTCAATGAATATACACCTGAGATCTTGAATACCCTCGCTAAGACCACTGATCCCGACGAGATGTGTATCTTACTCACTATGTGTTAATCAATTGATTTCGGACCAATTGAAAGTTGAATAATTTAAACTTATCACAAGCGATCAAATGTAATTTCTCATTAATTATCATTGCAATTAAAAAATTTTCTTCATGAATTTAATACACAGACTTATAAACGGATTGATTAACTTTAATTGAAAATTTGCTATCACAATTAATAATCAGGTAATCAATTATAACTCAGATCAACTTTTTACTTGAGTTTGAGTTTGATAATTAAATCAATTGTCACTTAATTGTCTTCCTCATAATGTTTAGATAATTAATACATAATATAACTTAACTATCTGATTAATCAATGATAACAATTACCACCACTTTATCATTACTAATTGTTACTCATTGTTTTTTAAAAAAATTGAATCAATTTTATCATAATGACATTTAAAATTGAATCAATTAACTAAATCAGAATAACAAGTTAACTGATTAGATCAACTAATTGTTAATATTAGTTACATTTTCTTTGTTTTTGTAATCATTGATTAAAAAATTGATTAACGATGAGGCGTTTAATCAAATCGTTATTACATTTTAATCAATTGTTTATTATATTTTCCATGAAAAATAAGCTTTTTAATCACAATTAGTAATAATAGAATTGCTATCAAATATAAGCCAATCCATAAAGCACAAGTTAATTAATATTAGAGTTAACAACAATTAACAACAATTTATTATAATCATGGTTAAATTGACATCACTTTTATTTGCTGTTTTACTTTCATCAACTTGTAAGTATTTAAAAGTTTCCCTTTCTTTACAATTTACTAATTTTCCTGATTGTTTTACAGATTATGTTGAAAATGGGTCAGCAATTAAGTCGATTGCATGTAGATTCTGTTTTGATTTGATTTCAAATGCTTATGATTTGTTGGGAGACGATCGAGAGGTTGAATCAATTGTATCGGCCTTAAATTCCGCTTGTGATCGTGTCTATCCAGTAAAAGACGATTGTGTAAATTATGTTAACCAATACACTCCGATGATTTTGGATTTAATTGCTAACACAACAAATCCTTTCGACGTTTGTACCTTAATCCAGCTATGTGATAAAGCAATTGAATTAAAGTCGCCATTACTTGTCGCTAAAAGGGATTTAAAAGTTGATCGTTGCGACAAGTGTTTAGTTGATATTAAATCGATTCAAACTGACCTCAAATTGGCACGAAAAGAGCACTTCCCAAAGTTACAACGCTGTTGTGGTCAATATCCGACACCCGATGGTATGTGTGACAATTATATTGACTTTATGGTTAAGATTTATGACGATCTAGAATCCAAACTTGACCCACGAAACACTTGTATGACCTTTGGTGCTTGTTCGGAATCGTTGACCAGTAAACCTGACGATGGACAATCAACGATCAAAAAGATTGAACCAGATTGCTTTTTGTGTAAACAAGTATTTAGACTCTTATACAAAGTGATCGAGAAACAGTCCAAGGTTGATATCGAGTCTGCTTTGGACAAAGTTTGCGATACCATGTTACCTACAGCAGATCGTAAAAGTTGTTACAAGTATATCGACACTTATACAACTCAACTGATCGACTTCATCCAAACGCACACCGATGCTAATGTGGCCTGTCACATAATCGGTTTGTGCAGAGAGCAATTCGAGGAAAATCTGAACAGTCTTTCATCCCAATTGAATCTGATCAACACTCCACAAGTATTTTCGTCAATTGAATGTGACAATTGTAATAAATCAGTGGCCTGGGCCGCTGTTACAGTCAAAAGCTACGCGAGCTCCTTGAATGGAATGATAGAAAATACTTGTCTTGAATATACTCAAAACCATCTATCATGTAAAAGTTACATGGCCGATCAATTTAACTACGATACCAGTCAATTAATTTCCAAAACAAGCCCAGATTATTTCTGTACAATAATCTTTGGACAGTGTCCCTTAACGAAGGGGCCAAATTAGTAATAAAAAACTGATCGAAACCTTTTTCATTTCCAATAAATATTTTTATTTCGTACAATTCAAAATATCTACAAAATTTATCGAGAAAATCAATTAAAACAAATCCATTAATCGATCAACTCATCTCCAGATCATAACTCACTAAAATCCATTCAATTTGTGTACTAGTCTCTATTGACTTTAATGGTTAGGATTTAAAACTCTAATCTATCCAATAATTTGCTAACCGATATTAACCTAAAACTGTAATCAATAGTATTTCTAATTGTTCATATTACATGTATTATAATACAAGTAGCCAAAAGTTAGTTTGGAAATTGTTCAGATATCGACCAACAAGCCAAATCGTTTGTAATAATGATATGAAGATACACTTAATTGTGGAATAACTTATCGTTTCTGATCTCAGTTGAACTTTTACAAATACAAAATTATGTTGAAAAAAACCCTATTAAACTCGTGACAATGATTGCTAAAATCTATGGTAGAATAAATGAGAGAAACTTGGCTATTAAATGAGTGCAAGAAGTTTTATTCTTAATTTGTGACTGATTGATACATTTAAATATCGATACTGAAAAAGTGTATTCATTTAATTGGTTGATTTTAGTTCACCATAAGGTAAAACCAATTCGCTTGGTTTCTGTGCAGGATCACAAACATCGAAAAGATCCCAACACAAATAGTTCTGAGTGGTTTTGTCGAGGATGTTATCGGTAATTGGATTGAAGTAAACTGAGTTGAGCTCATAGCACTTTTTGTAATCTTCTTTACTTGGAATCGGTTCAGTTTTAATCCACCATAAACAACCATTTTCAGCTTCAGCGGCGATAGAGTTAGCATCATGTCCCGGACCCATGTAAGTGACAGAAGCGACAATGAAGGTACATTCCTTACAAAGGGTCTCATTATAAACTTTGGAAGGAATTTGTTTGGGTGTAACTGGAGCAGCGGGAATATCTGGTAAACTGATGTCAAGGGTTGAATTAGACTCACAGACACTGTAGTAAGTACAAAGCTCTTCAGGTTTATTTTGTCGTTCGATAAGAAGGTCATATGAAGCCTCGAATACTTTAACATAAGAATCGCAAGATCCTTCAGGAGTTGGGTATATACCACAGTGTTTCTTAAGTTTAGGTAAGAACTCATTTGCAGCTTTTTTCAAATCAACTATTTTCGCATCAACTTCAGACTTGCAAATCTCACAAGGAGTCATTCCTTTAGTCCATGTTCCGAATGTAGATCCACTCCAAAGAGCATCACCATAGCCTAGCATTAGTAAAAAAAGACAAAAAAAGAAACCAAAATAATAAAGTTCAGTCCATAAAATTTTGTTCACAATTAAAAAGCAAAAGGCTACTTTGAATACTTACATGATGAGATGACGATGACAAAAGTAATGGCTAAAAATCGGTTCATGATTATTTCTTGTGATGAATTTAAAACAATCAAAATAATAGATTCAAAATCAAATTAGTTAATAATAATTCAAATTGTTTTATTCACCTCCTTTATATACTCTTTCAATCAAACTGAATCAAATCTTCCCTGATTTCCAACTCATTGTTTTGTGATAATCAATTCAACTGAATTTTCTTTTTCTGATTAAATAAAATGTTGAGTCTCTTTGTACTGAAATTATGATCAGATTATAATCCTAATGCCCCTGAAATAAAGTCAAACTTGAGTCAATTCATTAGTGATACCAATTCAGATTATCAATAACTAATTGTCTTTTCTCTGATCAAAAACAAAATTAATCGGACATCACATTTCAATATCACACGATTGTCTCAAAAGATCAATCAATTAATTGATTTTTATTAATTTGAATTCTGAATTTGATTCAATCGAAACAGTTATTTAATAAGTAGTTATCATTGTTTAACATTAATCCGAATCTCTTATAATATTAGTCTCATAATCATGTCACTATTATTGAAATCAAAAAAAATTGTGCTCCTAAATTGATGCAAAATTTTTTTATTAATTAATCTTTGATGATTTAAAATCTCACATAAAAAATTAAATACTAATAAACAAATATATTGCTAATAGTACAATGGGTTTATCGCATACTCAATAATCAAATTTAGTAAAATCAGATGAACTTGTTAATTACTGTAATTAAATTATTTGTTACTCTATTTATCTTTCTCCTCGTGATAGTCAAATATTAATTCAATAAATTAGTAGTTACTTTCTGATTAGTAAATGATAAAAACAACCACTCCAATTAACAATCATTGTTTCAATGTTATCATGATTATTTTTATAAGCAAATCACAATGAATTCATCTTTTAATTAGAAACAGTTAATTTCATTAAAGGAAAAAGTCTGATCCTTTGGATGGAGATTAAGATAAGCCTTTTTACAATTGAATTCATCTCTAAACTTAAAATCCAAACGGTGATAAATAATTAGCGAATTCTTTTTGTGCAAAACAATAAATTGCTAATTGACTTGTACTATCGATACGGAGATACATGAATGAAATGTGGCTAATGGTTTTTATTGAATGACATATCAAAAAAAAGCAGCTTATTTTGAACTTGACGGAGGTCAAAACTCTAATCTATTCAATCATTTGCTTATCGATAGCAACCTAAAGCTGTCATCAATAGTATTTCTGATCAACCAACTAGTGAAATCGTTTGCAACAAGGATGTGACGATACATTAAATTGTGGAAAAATTTCAAATAATAATCATCAAATAAGTTTCATAAGTTTATTTTCAAGATATTACTGATTGTTACATTTACATATTGATATTGCAGTGATTAAAGAAAGGGTATTCAGTTAATTGGTTGATTTTAGTTCACCATAAGGTAAAACCAATTCGTTTGGTTTCTGTGCAGGATCACAAATGTCGAAAAGATCCCAACACAAATAGTTCTGAGTAGTTTTGTCGATCATATTATCGGTGATTGAATTGAAATAAACTGAGTTGAGCTCAGAACATTTCTTATGATCTTCTCTACTTGGAACCGCATCAGTTTTCATCCACCATAAACAACCATTTTCTGCGAGAGCGGCGAAAGTATTAGCATAATGTCCACCGCCCATGTACGTGCCTGCAGCGGTGATATCCTTACATTCCTTACAAACGGCCTTATCATAAACTTTGGGAGGATTTTGTTTGGGAGTAACTGGAGCAGCGGGAATATTTGGTAAACTGATGTCGAGGGTCAGACTAGATTCACAGGCACCATAGTAAGCACAAAGCTCTTCAACTCTGCTTTGTCGTTCGATAAGAAGGTCAAATGAAGCCTCGAATACTGTCATGTAAGAATCACAAGATCCTTCAGGAGTTGTGTATGTAACACATTGTTCCTTAAGTAAAGGTAAGAACTGATTTCGAGCTAATCTCAAATCAGTAAGCCCCGCTTTTACTTCACGTTTGCAAATCTCACAAGGAGTCATTCCTTTAGCCCAATCTTCAAATGTAGATCCATTCCAAAGAGCATCACCATAGCCTAGAATTAGTAATGTAAGACAAAAAAAGAAACCAGAATAATCAGGTTAATCAGTTCAGTCCATAAAATTTTGTTCACAATCAAAAAGCAAAAGAATACTTTGAATACTTACATGATGAGATGACGACGACAAAAGTAATGGCTAAAAATCGGTTCATGATTATTTCTTGTAATGAATTTACAACAATCAAAATAATATATTGAAAATCAACTTAGTTTTCCATGTATAACAATTATGATTGTTTTATTCGTCTTCTTTATACTCTTTCAATCTTAATCAAATATTCTCTGATTTTCAATCCATTGTTTTGTGATAATCGATTCAACTGAATTTTTCTTACCAAATAATATTGAGCCTCTTTGTAATGTAATTGTGATTAGATTATAATCCCCTGAAATAAAATCAAGTTTGATTCAATTTACTGAAGATCCGGATTCATCTTATCAATAATTGATTAATTGTTTCTCTGATTGTAAACAAGATTAATCGTCCATCTCATTTCAATATCACACGATTGTTTCAAAAGAGCAATTAATTGATTGATTTTCATTAATTTAAATTTTGAATTTGAATTTGATTCAATTGATATCGTATATAAAATATGATAACTGTTATCTGATTGTTTAACATTAAACAGAACCTCTAATATAATAATCACATGATTATGAGATTATTTTAATCAAAAAGTTTGTGGTTCTAAATTGATACAAAACTTTTTTATTAATTAATCTTCAATAATTTAACCCTCATTTAAAACAACCAAATACGAATGATAAAAAAATAAAATGCTATCAAGTACAACGAGTTTATCGTATACTAAATCATCATATTTGGTGAAAGATTAACTTGATAATCAAATTCTTGTTACTTAATTTACCTTTCTCTTCAAATATTAATTCAGTGAATCAATTGGATTAATCATTGCTAATTAACCACCCTAATTAACACTTATTGTTTCAATGTTATAACAAATACGAAAAACCTTTTCCTGTCTCTCTAGTAATTAACCCAAAACTTCAGAGCCAAATGGTTGACTTTTATTTTCGATACGGAGATAGAAAGTCCTAATTAGAACTCTAATCTATCTCTTTAACTTTGACTCTTTCTAATTAATAATTAATTAGATCGTCATAATTGCTATCGAAATCCATAACCGTCTTCAAATAAATAATCAACGTTAGTCAATTTATTTGAAACAAACAAATATTATTGATTGTTCCAATATTGTCTCATCAATGTCATCAATTGTCAATGGTAATATGACGATACCCATTTAATTGTGAAATATAATTACAATTGATAATTAAATTAATTACTGGGTAACAATTAATATCTGAAAATCACCTGGGTAATCATGATTATTTGCAAAAAATTGAACAGGTAACCAAACAATAAATTAGTATAAATATTGATCAAAATCTCAACTTTTGTTCAGTTAATTGCAATTAGTTAACAAGTAAAACAATCAATCAACAACAATCATGAATCGATTAATTACAATTGTCGCCCTTCTCTCAGCATGTAAGTACATTATTATAAACTGTTTATTAATTGTAATTAATTAATTTTCTCTCTAATCAACAGGTTACGTTGTAAGTGCCTGGAAAGACTGGAAAGAAGGTAAAAGTCAATGTGAAATCTGTATGGCCGAAACTGGAGCTTATTTGACCGATTTCAAGTTAGCCCGAAACCAACAAATACCCAAATTAACTGATACCTGTGGCAAATACCCAACCCCAGACGGTTCATGTTCATCGCTCATGGAAATGTTCAAATACACTTACGATACTTTGGAATCTCGACTTGCCGCCAAGGAAATTTGCGCTTTCTACGGAATCTGTACTTCTGAGACCACTATTGACACCAGTGATCCTGCTATTCCCGCTGCTCCAGTTAGTCCCAAAGATCCATCAAAGGCTTACGACGATGCAACTTGTTACAACTGTAACATCACCGCCACCGTAACTTACCTTAATGTTGGTTCTTACGCCGTTTCAATGAACGCTGGACTTGAAAACAATTGTCTCTCCTGGACCAAGGCCGGTATGTTCCCAACCACTGAAGAGCACAAACACTGCAAAGACTTCATGGGAAAAGTTTTCGACAAATTGACCAACACTATTCGAGATAAATCAAATGTCAACTACCTTTGCTCAGATCTTTTCGATGTCTGTCCATCTACCCAATAGTAAACATCAAACATGAAGCTAAATAAAAATTTGGAATTGTAGTTATTAGAAAAGTATATTCACTTCCAATAAAAAGTTATAAATAATTTCAATCAATCGTTTGATTAATTTGATTTCACGCATCGACCTTATTATTACATTAAATGTCTGGCTTTAATGATAAAAACTCGCTCATTTACAGACCCTTTGTGGCCTAACGACCATTAGAATGTAATATTTTTTAGTTTCATTTGTTGAGATCAAATCTATTAACGAAATGGATTTGATTCTCGCTCGAATCGCTTCAGAACGAAAACCAACAGAATACAATATTCTTTCTATTCTACTCTAAGAAACACGAGTCTCTAACAACTATTTTGATTAAAAATGGTTGACTAATTAATCGTCCAGATTAAATGTCTCTAAAAGTGTTGTCCTTTGATAGTAAATTTTAATTGAATTGGGAACTTTATCTCCACAAATTACTTTCAGTTCGACTTCAAGTGAATCAGATTTAAGGTAATTTGCTAAATTGATCAATGATGGTGATCGAAAGACAAGATGAGCTGAATTTAGAAATTCTTGCAAATCCTCCAATTCTAACAAACGCAAGTATCTAACAACTTTTTATGCGAAATATTTCTTTCTTTTATTAATAATTCAAATCGAGTCTCAATGATTGATACATTTAATTATCGTAGTTCAATTAGTTGGTTAATTTTTGTCCGTATGGTAATTTCAATTCGCTTGATTTTTCTGTTGGTTCACAAACATCGAAAAGATCCCAACACAAATAGTTCTGAGTGGTTTTGTCGATCATATTATCGGTGATTGAATTGAAATAAACTGAGTTAAGATCAGAACATTTCTTGTAATCTTCTTCACTTGGAACCGCATCAGTTTTAGCCCACGATAAACAACCATTTTCTGCCAGAGCGGCAAAAGTGTTAGCATAGTTTCCAGCACCACCATAAGTGACTGCAGCGGTAATATCCTTACATTCCTTACAAACGGCCTCGTCATAAACTTTGGGAGGATTTTGTTTGGGAGTAACTGGAGCAACGGGAAGATTTGGTAAACTAATGTCGAGGGTTGAATTAGACTCACAGACACCATAGTAAGCACAAAGTCCTTGAACTCTGCTTTGTCGTTCGATAAGAAGGTCAAATGAAGCCTCGAATACTTTAACATAAGAGTCGCAAGATCCTTCAGGTGTTGGGTGTAGACCACAACGTTCCTTAAGCTCAGGTAAGAACTGATTTCGAGCTAATCTTAAATCAGTTATATCCGCTACGACTTCACGTTTGCAAATATCACAAGGAGTCATTCCTTTAGCCCAATCTCCAAATTTAGATCCACTCCAAAAAGCATCACCATAGCCTAGTATTAGTAATCAAAGGCGAAAAAGAAAGAAAAATCCAGTTAATCATCTCAGTCCATTCAATTCAATGGTCCTCGCAATCAAAAAGAATAATTTAAAATACTTACATGATGAGATGACGACGACAAAAGTAATAGCTAAAAATCGGTTCATGATTTTTACTCGAGTTAACACCAATTTGAAGAATAGATTTAGAATCAAATTTATCAACTATTATGATATTAAATACTTCGGTTCCTCTTCTTTATATACTCTTTTAATTGAACGTAATCAATTTCAAGCCATTGTTGTTCTCAAATTAATTGGTCTTTTTAATGTCAGGATCCTTTTCTGATGATTTAAGACAATATAATCTCAAGCTCTTGATACAAGTGCACCTAAAACAATAGGATTTGGATTATTCAGCCTACGATTTAGATACAAATGTCTATTATAATAATTGCACCTAAATTTCGGTACCACATCAATACAACAAAATTTTATCGATTCTTCATCTTCGATCTAGTATAAGATTAAGATCAATCTGCGTTTAATTAAATTCGAAAACTTTGTGTCAAAATTTTATTGATTCCATGAGCTTACATCATGATTATGTTTCCGTGTCATTTCTTGATAAAAATTACACATTTTCTCTTGATTGTTTCAAGTATGTCAATTAGTTAATTGATTGATTTTTAATTATTACACAGATGCAGATCCATTTCAAATCTTGATCAGAACAATACAATCTTAACTCGGTGCAATCGCACTCAACATAATACAAATAAGCAACGAAATTCAATATAAAAAAAATGATCAACTGATCGATAAATTAAATTACGATTGATCATGATGTTCATGATGTAATAATAACATAATTAATTTACAATATGAATACAATTAAATGCTTAAAAAATAATTTGATCTACTTGCTTGAACTTCATGATAGAATTACTTTTACAAAGATTATTACTTATTATTACAACTTTTATCATTAACTATTGTCTCACATATATTATAATATATACTGTCAGAAAATGCTCGCAAATATGACTCAGCTTAATAGATTTTGCCTCCAGAACTCTTTGTATTCCGTATTGAGAAAGCTCAAACTGTATTTGATAAAAATTTCGATAGATGGAGAAACGATTTCTGTTGAGATCTTTTCGTTTGTGATTCTGAACAAAAACTAAGTGAATTGGTTTTACCATAACGATCAAAAATGAACCTTTAATCGAACTCATTTTCTCCAATTTTGCAGTAACACATATTTGTATCACAACTAATGGAAATAAAAAGCTCGACATAAACGAGGTAAACGTATCTAAAATATAATCCGATTCAATTAAAATTTACTATTAAAGGCCAACACTTTTAGAGACATTTAATCTGGATGATTAATTAGTCAATTAATGGTGTTAAAGCTTTTAGGTGAAAACTGGTGAAACTCCAAGTGAAAAAGATATCAAGAAATATTCGAATCTTAATTCAGTTTATTTTAATCCAATTACCGATAATATGGTTGAAAAAACTAGTGTTGGCTATTTGTGCTGAGATCTTTTCGATTTTTGTGAACTGTCAGAAAAACCAAGCAAATTGTAATCACCAACAAGTCAATGAAAACTTCATTCATCGATCGTCAATCTATTTTCTAATTGGAATGACATCCATAACTGTACTAATCGACTACAATCATCAGTTAAATAAATTTTTAAACAGCAAATACATTACTCACCAACAAGTATCTTGATTCTCGACTTATTATAATATAATTTAGATCAGACTCCTTACATGAATAGTAATAATATTTGAAACTATGGTGATTCAATTCACTTCATCATAAATGAAGTATTAAAGTGTAATAAAAGAGTTTCGATCTAATGAAACATCGATTTGTAGTTTTAATCGTTTGAGATTAATCTTCGAGTGTTCAAATCGAACTTCTTTGAAAACCGATTTTAGTGGAGATCGATGTTGGTGACAACGAAATTTTGTAACGGTTAATGATAAATGAAAGGGTAACCATTTTTTCAAGAAAGAAAAACTTTACTTAGATTAAGTTATGATTGTATCAATGAATAAAAATTACAGTAAAATATGAAATAATTCAATTGAAAAATAAAAAAGACAGAAAAATGGTTGACTAATTAATCGTCCAGATTAAATGTCTCTAAAAGTGTTGGCCTTTGATAGTAAATTTTAATTGAATCGGAAACTTTATCTCCACAAATTACTTTCAGTTCGACTTCAAGTGAATCAGATTTAAGATAATTTGCTAAATTGATCAATGATGGTGATCGAAAGACAAGATGAGCTGAATTTAGAAATTCTTGTAACGGTATATTATCGGTTGTAAATAGATTGACCTCGATTAGTCTCAAGTGGCCAGAATGATCTAAAACCTATTTTTGAGACTATCCCAGTATTGGTCAACATCGTAGATCGAGCACTTTAAACATTTGATCAGCTAACTACAAGACCTAGAGGTGTCTTAGAAAATTTAATCATCATTGTTTAATCAAAGCTGTAAAGAATAAGCAATTTTCGATCTTAAGCTACCTGAAGTTTCAATTATGGCCATTTTTTCAATAACAAAACAAATTTTGGTAAATTCGGATTCAAATTCAATAATCAATCATTATGATCATCGATTTTCAAATGTATTTTGATTGATATCAGTCAATGGATTTTTTTGTTCATCAATTTGACCAGTTAAATATTCGTCTTTGTAAAAGTGATTTTCTCATGAAGATTAAGAAAGTAGATCAAATTATTTTTTAAGTATTTAATTGAATTCAACTAATTAGTTTGTTTTATTATTAATACATTATGAACGATTGATAGATCGTAATTTAATTTATCGATGAGTTGAGCATTTGTTTATTGAATTTCGTTGATTATTTATATTATGTTAGGTGCGATTGCACCGAGTTAAGATTGTATTGTTCTGATCAAGATTTGAAATGGATCTGCATCTGTGTAATAATTAAAATCAACCAATTAACTAATTGTCTTAGTTAGAACAATCAACAGAAGATGTGTAATTTTTAACAAGAAATGACATGGAAACACAATCATGATACAATCTCATGGAATAAATAAAACTTTGGCTCAATTATTATTTATTGACCAAGAATCAATCGGTATCAGATAAATAAATAAATAGTATTTAAATCAAATTCAAACCAGAAAAAAATCAACAAAGATCACTTAGAAACTTGGAGAAATTTTCTATTAACTGTATGATTGATTGATGATCTCAAAAAGTTACGAATTTAATTGAATGCAGATTGATCTTAATCTTAAAACTATTAGATCGGAGATAAAATCTTGTTGCATCGATGTGGTACCAAAATTTAAGTGCAATTATTATAATAGACATTTGTATCTAAATCGTAGGCTGAATAATCCAAATCCTATTGTTTTAGGTACACTTGTATCAAGAACTTATACTATCTTAAAGCATTCTGACGGGAAAGGATCATGATCTGATCCTGGATCCTTAAAATATCAATCAATTCTCAAAGACAATAAATTGAAATCGATTATGGTTGATTAAAAAGAGTATATAAAGACGAGCAACCGAAGTATTTAATATCATATTAAGTTAGTTGATAAATCTAATTCTTTAATCTTATTCTTCAAATTGTGTTAACTTACTCGAGTAAAAATCATGAACCGATTTTTAGTGATTACTTTTGTCGTCATTATCTCATCATGTAAGTATTTTAAATGATTATTTTGCTTTTTGACTGAGAGGACCATTGAATTGAATCGACTGAGCTGATTAACTTGATTCTTCTTTCTTTTTCGTCTTTCATAACTAATACTAGGCTATGGTGATGCTTATTGGAATGGAACTACATTTGGTGCTTGGGCTAAAGGAATGACTCCTTGTGAGCTTTGCAAACGTGAATTCGAAGCAGATATAAATGATTTGAGATTAGCTCGAAATCAGTTCTTACCTTTACTTGCGCAACGTTGTGGTGATTACCCAACTCCTGCAGGATCTTGCATTTCTTATGTTAAAGTATTCGAGTCTTCATTTGACCTTCTTATCGAACGACAAAGCAGAGTTGAAGAGCTTTGTGCTTACTATGGTGCCTGTGAATCTAGCCTGACCCTCGACATCAGTTTACCAAATATTCCCGCTGCTCCAGTTACACCCAAACAAAATCCTCCCAAAGTTTATGTTAAGGCAGTTTGCGAGCAATGTAAGGACATTACCGCTGCAGTCACTTACAGTGGTGCTGGAAGCTATGCTAACACTTTCGCCGCTCTGTCAGAAAATGGTTGTTTATCGTGGGCTAAAACCGATGCGGTTCCAAGTGAAGAAGATTACAAGAAATGTTCTGATCTTAACTCAGTTTATTTCAATTCAATTACCGATAATATGATCGACAAAACCACTCAGAACTATTTGTGTTGGGATCTTTTCGATGTTTGTGAACCATCCGATAAACCAAGCGAATTGGAGCTACCATACGGTCAAAAACTAACCAACTAATCAAACTCCGATTGCAGGATCATTGATAATTAAATGTATCAATCATTGAGACTCGATTTAAATAACTAATAAAAGAAAAAAATATTTAGCATAAAAATTTGTCATATATTTGTACTTGTTAGGTGTTGAAGTTATTACCGTTACAAGAATTTCTAAATTCAGTTCATCTTGTCTTTCGATCACCATCATTAATCAATCTAGCAAATTATCTTAAATCCGATTCACTTGAAGTCGAACTGAAAGTAATTTGTAAAGATAAAGTCACTCATAAATTCAGTTTACTATCAAAGGCCAACACTTTTAGAGACATTTAATCTGGACGATTAATTAGTCAACCGTCGTAAATCTCTAAATTAAGTAAAAAAATTTCTGAAATTAATTGTCAAACTAATCTTTTACTGATACTTTCGTGAAGAGTATTTTCTGAAGCTCTGGTGATTCAACTAACCTTCGGGGAAAAAGTTTGCAAACTTTTGCTAAATTCGTAATTTAATTCGATTTTGTCCAAATGCAATTGAATTGTTCGACCTGAAATTTATACAATACCATCTCGCGTATATTAGCCATTAGTCTATGAATTTCCATTAAATATACACAATGAAACTGTTTCTACGAATGTTTGATCAAAAAGTTTCAAACTTTTCCCCACAGGTTAAGGTATTACAACAGTTTCGATTTGCAGTTTTATTCGTTTAAGATTAATCTCCGAATGTTCGAGTTCGAATCGAACTTCTTTGAAAATCGATTTTAGTTGAGATCGATGTTGGTGACAACGAAAGTTTGTAACGGTTAATGATAAATGAAAGGGTAACCATTTTTTCAAGAAAGAAAAACTTTACTTAGATTAAGTTATGATTTTATCAATGAATAAAAATTACAGTAAAATATGAAATAATTGGTGAATAGATTGAAAAATAAAAAAGACAGAAAAATCGTTGACTAATTAATCGTCCAGATTAAATGTCTCTAAAAGTGTTGGCCTTTGATAGTAAATTTTAATTGAATCGGAAACTTTATCTCCACAAGTTACTTTCAGTTCGACTTCAAGAGAATCAGATTTAAGATAATTTGCTAGATTGATTAATGATGGTGATCGAAAGACAAGATGAGCTGAATTTAGAAATTCTTGTAACGGTAAAACCTCCAATTTGGTTCCATTAGTTTCCAAATTAATTATCGCATCTCGAGTAAAATTACGGCCCAAAATGATAATCTCTTTACCTCCATTCAATGGCGTTTTACGGGTTGATGTCATGTGAATTTCGGGCGATCCAACAGTTTGAACGCAAACAATTGGATCAGAGACTAATTTGATTAAGGTTCCGGTTTCCGGGATAATACAAGCAAACACTAAACGGCAAGAATGTGACTTGGTAAAGATGAGATTACATCTTTTCTTGACTTCGAACATCCTTTCCTTTAGAATGCCAATACAATTGATTTCCAATTCCATCCCGTTATCAGGAGACAATTCAAATTCAAGTGCTTTAACACCATTAACTGCTCGACAATTACATGGAGTTGCTGTTCGTGAGGTTACCTTTGATACTTTATAAATAGGATGAGGTTCACCGAGTTTATTTTCATCTCCAATAAAACAGATTAATTTAATTGTATTAAAACCATTATAACCTTCTAATCTAATCACTGGAAATCCTTTACCGGTATTATCTTTAATTGCACCACGAGAACCTTCAGTTTTATAGCGAGCACGATGATTGGCAGCGGGTTGACGGATAAGTGTTAATCTTTCCTCTGTTAATTTTTCTCGTTTACAATAAGTGTAACCAGGTTCAGATATTAATGATGATGTTGAAGAAGATGATGAAATGTAACTATTGGCAGAGGATAAAGGTGATTGAGGTAATGAAGATGCAGTTGATGAAGATGAGGTAGTAGAAGATGCTGATGACATTAAACCCATAGAATCACGATATTCTCCATAGTCATTTGTGTCCATCATCATGTTAGTTGATGTTAAATTTAATAGATTTGGTAAATTAACCCCAGTTGAATGGTAATTAGCACTTTCAGATGCCAATGATGGGGTATTGTTAGGTGAGTATTGAAATGCCTGTGGGTAAGGTGAAGCCATCTCAGGATCTGGATTCATCAAGGGATACATAATATGAGAGAGAAAATCACAAAATACAATTGAAAACTTAATTAGAATAAAATAAATACAATAAAAATCAATTGTAAGACATTAAAATCAAAACAATTGTTAAAATTATTCTCAAAATGTGTCAACCAACACAAAGAGATAGTCCAATTGACCAACAAGTGGGGATGTTTACTGTTAACTTTTTTTTCACTTAATTAGATGGTGTTGTTTACACGGTCAATCAGTAAATGGTTCTAACAATCAAATTGTAAGAAGATATTAATGGTTAATTAATCTTGATTATCATTTTAATTACTATTAAAAGAAGAATAAAACAAAATTAATTAGGAGAAAAAAAGAAACTGCGCAGCCGCAGTTCGATTTTCGCAGTAACTCCCTCTGTCTTTTTTTCCTTCAACTTCTAAGTTTTCCCTCTTCAATAATTAGATTTTATTTTTATCTCTTAGTCAATTAATCTTTTGCTTTACCTTTTGTTTTAATAGTTGCGAGCTTAATCTTCATGGATCATGGACAACTTCTTTACTCTTTGACCTCAATTCAAACAATTGACCGAAAAAGAAGCAAAAAAATCAAAGAGATTCATTGATTTCCTCTCTCTTATTGGATCTTCACTTATATTATCCTTTTCATGGAGACACAACATCCAAAGTTCATTTCAATCAGATTATCATCACCACCACCACGACCAACACCAACACCAACACCAACATCATCATCGGATCTTCTTGATTACAAATTTACCTGGAAATCGTTCGATTAAACGGAATCCATAGCTTAATGTTTATCTCTTGTAATCTCTAGGATACTCTTTGCCCTCTCCTATTCAAATTGGAGGCCCAACAAATTACCAAATGGAAAAGAGTTGAAAAAAATGATTACCTGCTCATTATTGTTAAGCTTTTCTCTACCACAGCCACACACCATCATCTCTATCAGATCATAATCATCATCATCCAGAGGGAGAGAAAAAAAAGAAAGAGAACAATTTATATTTATATTTGATATAAATGTCCAAAGGTTAACTATGCTTCAATTATCATCAAATATCTAGTTTTTTTTATCCCTTCAAAAGAGATGATGAAAGAGAAAGGTAAATATCACGTGGAAACCATCACTTTACCTGACATTATTTTCTTCATCATTATCATCATCATCTCTCCCTCTCCCTCTTTCTTTTCATATTTATCATCATCTCACATGTAAGGTCAGTTATCCAATATTTAAGCACCTAAGTTGCGGTCTTGTGATGGTGAAAGTCACCATTTCTCCTTAAGTGGTCACAAGATTTGTCTCAAGACAATTTGCTAATTACTCATCAGATTTAACACTTTCTATTAACAATTAACCCTTTTGTAGTCATCAAATAGGAACCAACAACAATTCCAATGTAAGGTTGATAAGTTAATCATATTTTCAATTTTCTTCCCATAGAAACCATCAGCCAAATGGATTAAGCGATTAAGAGGATCAGACCAAAATTAACATTTTCATTAAATCATCACGATGGACTAATTGTGATTCCTGATTGTAGGTAAGCTACAATTGTTGATCGCTTTTGATTAATCTTCTTTTCCATAGGTCAAATAAATCATTAACTAACACGATTGCTTAATTGTTTCCAACGGTAATAATATTTTACTTGTTTTTATTAATCCTTTTTATCAGATTAACATATTCACCTGACAGGTTAAAACTAATACAATGTAACAGATTAACTCAATTGCAATTTATATCAGAAATTGTAACGATTCTTAAGAGATGATGATTTAAATTATTATCATAATCTAACACCAAGGACAACAATTAACCTTCACTTGATGGCTGATATAATAACAATTACTTTCAATTTGTGAATATTTACACTTTTAATTGATTAACTTTCTCTTGACAATTTGCCAATTACTTTGATATCTTTTAATTCAGTTCATTTCTTTCTTTCTTTCTTTCTTTCTCTAGTTAATCACAACAGATTAAGAATACACAAATTAACTCTTTGGATCTTAATTTCATCTTCGTCTTATATTATTACATGGACTTGGAATCTCAAAGCTTGGACAAAATCTAGATTTTAATTGCCGTCTATTAATTAGCTAATCTATTCCTCGTTGTGGCAATTTAAACAAAATTAGACTTGATTCTTAAATCAGTTGATTTATCATTATTCACGGGTGACTAATGGTAAATACAAATCTTAACAGTGGCTGATAAATTAACACGAGATCAGTGAATGTTTGATCAACTTTACTCAGTGAGAATTAATTTGGATTACGAACGTGCCTTTTAATTGTAGTGAAAAAATACACAATAATTAACAATTAAGAACGAAACCACTAAAGAAGATCAACTCAAACTAAAGAAAGTATAATCTGCCCTTAATGTGTATTCTTCAATAATGATTACTATTAATAATTAACTCTAAATGACAATTTACTGTCAATCTAAGAAAATTAACCGGTCGCAAGAAACTAACAATTAACTGGAATCACGAAAAGACTCATGTTCATATTGAATTTTTATAATTAACAGAATTGATTAGATTTTCAGTCTTAATCAATAATAGACGATCTCTGGTTGAATTAATTGACTATCAACATTTACCAATCTATTTATTATTATTACTTTTCTATCAGATAATAAATTGTTTGGTTAATCAAACAAATGTTACAATCTATGGACCTATTGGAGGCTCGACTCATCAATTGCACCACAAATTGATAACAACAATCAACTTTCATCATCACAATTAGTAAACTAACGATACCCCCAGTCCGGAACGATTTCAATTGAGCATCATTGAACAAATTAAATACTATTTGTCAACAATTAACAAAATGAGTATGTCATCTAAAACATGATTACATTACTTTGATTACAAATAATTAACAATATTAGTAATAATATTGTATATTAATTAATTCCGTCTCTCTCATTTTTTGTTCACTATCAGTTAATTGTTACCACCGAGAGATTCTAATCATGATAATTATGATTATATTTATAATTATTACCACGATATGAATGGTGCACGTTTTAAAGATCACTGAAAGGTGTGTCCCCATAACAATTTAAGAGATGAAAATGAAATGATACAAATATCAGAAAATAGTTTAATCACTTAATCTGTTCAACAATCAACAGAATCTTCCAATTAATCAATAGCAACTGAAGAAACTTTTTCTCCTCTTAATCTCTAATCCAATCACCAAGAACGTAAGATCAACAATTAACCAATTGATGCAACAGTCTAAAAGTGATTAAAGTGATCAACAGGTAAGTTTCTCTCTCTCTCTCTTTTTTTTTCTAATTGATTAATGATATAATATTGATTGGATCGATTAATTAATTATTTCTTATTCTATTTTAAATTTTGATCAATATTCTTTCATAAAAAAAGTTTAGATAACCAGGAAGGCCAAAGGAATCAAAGTTATTATATTATCATCTCAGTTAATCAGAGTAACTACTCTTAGGATAACTTTCTAATCACAATTAATATTTAATCAACAATCATAATCATTTTCACTCTCTTCTTTTGTTGGAGGTGTGTCACTCCCATCATTAGTTATAATTAAAAATAATACAACAATCATCTAATTATCTATTGACAAATAACAACAATCTAATCTCAATTGATCAAAGACAGGAATCAAACATGAAACTTGTACAATTTATACTTGATTTGATTATTATTAACTTGCCAACTAACTAATTAACTAACAAGCCCCTTTAACCATCTTGGTTTCTTTATTATTATAATAATACAAGTTAATCAATAAGATATAATTGTTATCAGAATTACTTTGATTATGATATTAATTTTATTTTTTGATTCTTTCTGATTATTAACTGTTAATATCTAATTTTTTTTGTGTCTTCATCAACACCAAACAATCAAAAATTGATCAGTTAATTTTGAACAATTGAACTTGTAAACTGTTTTCATTGTTGATTGATTTGATTAGGTTGATTAACTAAATCATATTAATATATTTAACTAACTCTTTTTTTTTTACTTATCCATCATAACTATTTATAACTATTAATATATGATTGTATTGATTATCATTACTAATCAATAGCTGATTATAATCAACTGATTGTTTCATATTAAGTCAATTAACTTTTGTTTTCTAATTAGTAAATACCTCTGGTTTTAATTGTTACAATTGAGGTTAATTTTACAGAAAAGTACTTGATTGTAAATCTAAAATATTATTATTGGTAAAAATTGATGAGATTAAATTTGATTGTTTAAAACTTTCCAATCAATATAAGTATCATTTTATAATCTTGATGAGAAGCAGTTAATCAATCTGATCATATTGATTGTTTGATCAACTATTTAATTAAGAAATATACTACATGTACATTATAATAATCAATATCGATGCACAATTAGATCAACAATTAGGTGAATAGACTTTGATTTAACTATTGAAAATTGTAAGTGTATTGTTTACTGTAACTGTTAATGTAGCAGTTAATTAACTTGAGAGTTAATTGTGATTTGTCAATGATCATGGTCTCATTTTGATTGACTCGATATTTTTTTGCTTTACCTGTACAAAGTTTAATCTAAATAGTAAACAATTTAATGATTAAATTGTTTATTCTGAGTTGATATTTATTTGTACAATGTTGCTAATTGTAGTGGTACTAATTATAATTAATCCTGATATTGAGGTAAGTGTTTGATTAATTATATTAATTGTAAGTACTGGTGAAAATATTGAGACTCATCATAATCTTAATTGTAGTGGTAATCAGTAAATCCTATTGGTAACTGTATTTTTCCTTAATCAAGTAAATCTTTAACCAATAAAAAGTAAATTGTAAAGGTGATTTGGATAATTATAACTAATTAACAGTTGACTGTTTACTAGATTTTAATTGATAGATCAAAATCCACTCAATAAATTGTGTAGTAGTTAATTAAATGTACTTGTAAATTGTTACCTTTGCTCTGTAGCTATTAAATCAACCTGTGGGATACAGATTAATAGTTGATTAAGTCAATTAAACTTCACACAATCAATATTTTTATAGGCTGATTGTTGATCGATTGTATTAATAATTAAAAATTTACCTTAACGATTAAATGAAAACTTTGCCATCCACTGAAATTGTAATTAGTTGATTTCGATATTTATATTAATAAAATTATTAATTACTTCACTCAATTGTATGATAATTACTTAATTGTTTAACTATTTAATGTACAGTTTTTTAGAAAATTTAAATTGTTCAAGTATTAGAACAATTAACTTTAATTGTGATTATCTTTTACTTGTATTTTGATTCAAATGATAAATTTCACTGAAAATTTGTTGTATAAACATAGTAACTAAATTAATTGATTGTTGTAATTGTTTCGAGGATTATACAAAGTCGATGAGTTTAATTGATCTTAGCAACAGTAATCGTCTAGATGATTAACAGAATTGTTATTAATTATTGGAAATAATTGAAGTTAATTGTTGGAAGTTGGAACTCAGGGTATTAAATTAGTTGTATGTCAAAGATTATTAATTTGATTGTTGAAAGTGAAAGGGACAATATTCAACTAATTAGTCTACACTGATTAATATATGTTGTAAAAGAAAAACTCAGATAAGTTAATTGTAACAATTAAGTAGTATAAAGAGTTACTATGGAGCAACTAGAATCAACTGGATTTAACGAGCTAATCAATTGTTACCAATGATAACAATGTATCTATTTTTTCATGGAGATATTAATCCAATATCTTAACTATCATCATAATTATTGTTGAAAATGATTAAACTGATCATTTCCAGGTAATTCAATCAAAAATAGAGACTAGTGATTAGATAAAATTCAAGTTGATTAACTGAATCGATGAGGTGATTAAGTGGGAGTGTGAGCCAAGCCCTCAATCAGATACAATAATTGAAACGGATATTCAATCAATGGCTTTTGAAATTAAATTTTAGCCGATGATTAAACTTATTGATTAAAAGGGTAATGAAATTGAACAGTTTCATATATTAATCCATCCTATTGGCTTGATCCATTTATCAGAAATTGTCCCCCCGTTAATCAATGAAAATTAATCGACAATTAATGAAGACTCTCCTTTTTTAAATTCACAATTAGAGTCAATCTATTTCCAAGGTTGTTGACAGTTTTTTTTTTGATGATTAAATCACTTGAAATTGAAAAGATTCATTCATTAGGCTCAACATGATAAAGTAAATCAAGATTATTTGGTAGATTCAGACAATCAAGTGAACACCTTAAAATTTAACGTTCAAAATGATTAAGAAAATATATAAAAAAAAGAGTAATAATAATCAAATTAAATCAATTAAGCGAATCAAGAGTAAACTCTGGATTAGGGTTAAGGGTAATAAACATCACCACCTTCAAGCCAAACAATTAAGACACCTTTCAAAGGAGACATTTAATCATCTAATTGGAGAAACAGTTAATCATTTAAAGGTTAACAGAACAATTAATTGAAATAATCAAATCAACAGAATGATAATAAATAAGTTATCAAATCAATGAAATCGAGGGAAAAACTTTCACTCCGATTAGTTTATAATCGTACCAATAGATGGCGACACATGCAAACAAAACTTTTTCGAAACAATTTAATTTAATTGTTTTACTTTTTCAGTTAAATCAAATTGTGGCAATAACATGAATTTCAATTGGATGAAATTAACTGTTGGTTCTTTACAATTTAGAGGATTAATTTTGTTTTCTTCGCTTTATTGGAAATCATCTGATTGTTATTAAGATCTAATTACAATTAACTCTTTTTTCATCTGATTAATTGTCACCAGAAAATTTTCATTAATCATTGTTAACCGGAAACAATTGAGAATTTATATTTAATTGTTGATTACGGAAGTAACCAAAGAGACCAAGATGAGTCAGGAGAAATAGTTAATTTAATTGTGGTTAAATCAAAACGTTAATTGTGATTAGTAATTTAATTGGTCATTTTAATTAATCTCCATTGATTAACCTGTTAAATTGATATAAAATAGATTAGATTTGGTAACAATTAAAGAAAGAGAGTGAGAGATAATTGATTAAATATCCATAAAATGCTACAATTAATGATCGACAATCAATAATCATGATAAACGTGATTAATAAATTGTCAATCCATGTAAATTGTTAATCAAATTAAATCTTTTTCTCTACAATTTATGATTAATATTAAGGACTTGTTCCATCTCCATAGAGAATTTGCCCCCTCACCGATTTTGCTGAAATTTCGATTTTAGATAGAGCTTAAAAAATAAATAGATTTGGCTGAAAAGGTTTTTCTCTAAGCCTCATACTTTTTGTGCTAGGCCATTTTTTCGAAAAAACTTTGAAGCGTGTTTATAGCCAAACTACTTACGCTAGACACACAATTCTGGTGTTGATCGATAGCTAATTTTATTGTCTATAAGATGGTGTTATTTAAAATCTGAAAACATTTCGTCCCAATTCACGGCAGCGGAAAGAGACCTTCAAAAGTGACCTTACGCTTAAATCAACCGGGAAGCAGAATGAAAATACTTTTTCTAATGCAGTTTTTATGCTCTACAATAAATCGAAGTCAAAATATACCTATCGGTATGCGTTTTGAGAAAATTAGCAAAACTATCTCAATCACGGAAAATGGCCTTTTGAGATATATAGACATAATTTGGACTCGATTTTTCTTCGATAATATTAGTTTCATGATGTGCGCTGTTGATTGGCGTTGAAAAAAATAACACTATCGAGGGTCTCTATTTGGCCTTTGACAACGGACTTTTCAATGGCTAATAAAGGCCACCTTAGGCTTATGGAAGCACAAATTTTTCAGCATATACCTATGTAACATTTGATGCTCTATTCGTACACAAAGAAAAAAATAGGTCGAACACTATGCGTTTTCGAGATAAGATGAAATAACTTACAATTTTTATGATTTAGCGCTAATATAGACTAAGGTCATCGAGAAGCAGAACAAAAATAATTTTTTCTGATGTAATTTTTTATGGGCTTTCAATAATTGTTGATAAAAGATATCGGATCACTATGCGTTTAGAAGTTATGATCAGAAAACTAATAAAATTCATGCAAATGTGTTGATAAATATTCGAAAATTCTAAAATAGAACTAAAGTAACTTTTTCTAGTGAATTTTTTATCTGCTGCGGGAAAATGAGAGAGAGAAAGAGTAAGAAACGATGAGAGAGAGCGGGAAAATAGAAGAGAGAGGAGAATGAGAGAAAGAGCGGGAAATGAGAATGAGAGAGTGAGAAACGAGATTGAGAGCGGAAAATGAGAGAGAGCGGGAAATGAGAATGAGAGAGTGAGAAACGAGATTGAAAGCGGAAAATGAGAATGAGAGGCGGGAAAATGAGAGAGTGGGAAAATGAGAGGCAGGAAAATAAAGAGAGAGAATGAGAGAGCAGGAAATGAGAATGAGAGGTGAGAAACGAGATTGAGAGCGGAATGAGAATGAGAGCAGGAAAATGAGAGAGTGGGAAAATGAGAGAGCAGGAAAATGAGAATGAGAGAGCGAAATGAGAATGAGAGGTGAGAAACGAGATTGAGAGCGGAAATGAGAGAGGCAGGAAAATGAGAGAGGCAGGA